TTCAGTCTGGAGAAGAGGAGGCTGAGGGGAGACCTCCTGGCCCTCGGCAACTCCCTGCCAGGAGGGGGCAGAGAGGGGGGATGAGTCTCTGGAGCCAAGGCCCCAGCGCCAGGCCCCGAGGGAATGGCCTCAAGCTGCCCAGGGCAGGGTCAGGCTGGCTCTGAGGAAGGATTTATTTGCAGAAGGGGCTGTTGGGCGTTGGAATGGGCTGCCCAGGGCAGGGGGGAGTCCCCGGGATCCCTGGGGGGGTTGAAGAGTCGGGCTGAGCCAGCGCTGAGGGATCTGGTGGGGTTGGGAAGGGTCAGGGAGAGGGTCATGGTGGGGCTGAGGAGCTTCAAGGTCTTTTCCAACCTAGACGATTCTGTGATTCTGTTAAAGATAATGATTGCTAAACTTTTAAATTTAGGCCCCTGATTCAGCACTCATATCCATGAGATAAAACCCCATACGCAGCCCGAGTCAGGTCCCCACTTCCCAGGTGCCCAGAAATGTCTGTGCTTTGCCATCAGACAGACACCCCAACGTGTGCGTGAGGAGCAGGAGACAACGACCTGCAAAAAGGAGATGTCCCCGATTCAGCAAAACACTTAGAGCCCAACATGTCACATAGAGATTAAGAGAATTTAAACATGTGCTGAAATATTTTGGCATACCAGGGCCTGGGGACTTGTCTATGCAGAAAATTGTCTCAAATTAAATGTTTGGGGTCATTTAAAGTTCCTGAAGCTCTTCCTGAGTAACTCCCTATATGCATGTGGTTAGTCCAGAGCATATTTATATCTTTTATGTATATATCCTTCCTCAATAGCCCTCTGGTTTCTTACTCTTTATCCCACCTTTTGACTTCTGCCTCCTCTGTCCCTCTGTCCTGATGGACAAGCAGCTCTCATGAACACCGCAAGGCGTAGATACTTTGTGCTCCCTGTGCCGTTTTTTTAATGATTCCCCAGCGTGTTGTCCTGTCCTAAGAAACCTTAACAAACTCTTAGGGCCCAAAGACAACCACACAGCCTGGGACCAGCCCCATTCCATATTCCTCCTCCTCAGCATCATCTTTGGCCATTCAACCCTCGTGTCTGAGATTCAAACCATGAGGGTCTGGTGGTAGGATTTGCCTTGCTGCGTGGTGTTTGCACAGCTCCGAGCACAGCAGGTGCCTACTGCAAAATCGTGAGTATTGTGATCGCTGCTACTTACTACTTCTGCTCATATTGATTAATAACGACTGCATTTTCCCCACAGCCCTTTAAAAATTAAGGTAATTTGGAAAAAAAAAAAAAAAAAGCTATTCATACAGAAATCAGGGTGTTTGCACAGCAAGGCAGACAGCAATAGATATTCCAGGCGATTTCCCTGTGTAAATAAATCCTCCTTGGAGAACCCGGACAAAACCTCCTCCTCGTAGGTCCGTATTTCTGGGGGGCAGTGAGAGTGGGAAGGGGGCTGGGGAAATGGGAGTTTCAAAGAGTTTTGAGCACTTATGGGCAACACAAAGGAAAAATGGACATACTGTGCGGAGCTGCTGGCGAAAGTGGGTCTTAAACAAGTAATATAGTGGCTTTGGGACTGGGATTGTGTATCCAGGGTTCTGTGCAGTTCACATAGGAAATTAGTGACCTGCATATATGAATGGAGTCTTTCCGGCACAGGGACATAGATGTAAAAATATTGTCCTGTATAAATAGCTGTTCCGAAAATAGAGCTTTAGGAAATTTATTCCGAGTCTTTTTGTCCGGAGACTAAAGTATTTATTCTGTTTTTTCCTTTCACCTGAAGCCCACGATTAAACCGAGTGGTCAAAATGAAGCCGGTACTTTTGCAACCAGCACCCATTTTCTCAGAGTCTGTAGCTGGCACAGATGTCCTAAATTCAGACTCACGAGGCTTTGGGTTGAGAAGCCAGTTGTGCTTTTCTCTCAAGGAATTTTCTTAACAATTTTTTTCATTTTTATTTTTATTTTTTTCTTTTTATCTTTTCTCTTTTTGTTGTTCCTTTTTTCTTTTTCTTTTTCTTTTTCTTTTTCTTTTTTCAATTTTTATTTTTGTTTTCCTCTTTTTTTTTCTCCTTTTAGCTTTCTCCTTTTCTTTTTCCTCTTTATTTATATTTTTTCTTTTTTTTCTTTTCCTTTTTATTTTTTGTTTTTCTCTTGTTCCCTTGTGGGTTTTGTTTGTTTGTTTGTTTGTTTTTTCTTATTTCCACTTTTCTTTTTTTCCCCCCTTTTTCTTTCTCTAGCAGGCAGTGACCAAGCCTCCATCCCCGATACTGGCGTGAAAGCAAAACTCAGATCTCAACACCTGAACTTTCCACTGATTAAAAGTCAGATCAAAGGGAAAAGAGGCTGTGGAACCTGAAGGCAGACGGCAGGGCTCGCTGGGGCAGGACGTGTGCCCGCAGCCCGCGTTAGGAGCGCCGGGCAGTGATTTCTGAGTCTCGCAGGAGAAGGAAAATCCACCTGACAGCCCCGGGCATGAAAAGTATCTTTGTCCTTTAATTGGGAAGTCGGTCGCGCAGCCCAGCGAGCGCGATCACCCTCGGGAGAGGTAACGTTACGAAGTTTCCGGTGAAAACACGAACTAGGAGGGTTTTTTATTTTTTTTTTCTTTTTTTGCTAATCATTAACCGCTCATTAGAATAAGTCCCTTAACAGTTACAGCATCGAGTCCATCAGGTCCCTGACACCCCCGGGGGGCTGACGATGGGCACCCCCCGCACCTCCCCGCCCCGGGGCAGCGCCTTGCGGAGCCC